GGACATCGTTACTCACACACAGACACACATTTTTTCAGAGGTGTTTGCTCTAAAGAGCAGTTTAGTGATTGAATACTTGTTTTATTAATGCAGTTTACAGGATTTATAGTTCCATTTATTTCCACCTTTCGTTGCTTCATGTTCTTTTCAACATGATGGCTTTAGTTCCCTTGGGGGCTGAGCTGGAGAGGATCATGGGAACCGTTCGCTTGCTGTATCTTACTATTTTGTTGGCGACGAGCAATGCTATTTTTCATGTTCTCATAGCACTGTTGGTGGGACATAATCCTTTTGTTACGAATGTTTACCTCATGAATGAGTGTGCTGTTGGGTTCTCTGGAGTTCTGTTTTCGATGATTGTTATAGAGACAAGCCTCAGTGGAGTTCAATCGAGGAGGTTGGTTTTTATAAATATAGCTGCTGTCAATGAGTTCAAACCACGTTTTTCTCTAAGATAGTTTGGCAGAAACCATTATTTGGAAGCTGTTCAATAGGCTGAATTAATAATATCATGAAAGACTGTTATCACAAATGATTATTTTGGGAAGACTAAGATATTCTTATCATCCTTAAAAAGGGGGTAAATGTTGATTATGTTACGTATAATTTTTATTCTTTCCAAACAAAAGTAGTGTCTTAGGCCCTTACTAAAAACAGATTGAAGTTTTATAGGATCAATACCCAAATTTGCCAATTTTACAGGGACCAAATGCATCTTTAAGCCTTTTGAGATAGTTATCTTCATAATGAGAGTTGAATGATGATATGCATATTATCACATTTATTGATATGATTTTGCTTAGCTGTTTACTCTGCAACGGTTTTATTTGCTTGTTTTGCCTAGAAGAAACTAAGCGTTTGACAGATATACAATGTTAAGAATCATGAATCTGCAATGACTTACTAACTTTTTTGTATTCATTTTGCAGTGTATTTGGGTTGTTTAATGTGCCTGCCAAGTGGTGAGTATAGTTTTGGGTTAAATATGTTTTTGGTTTATGAAAATATGACGTTTTTTCTGTTTGAATCTCTATTTAAATTTTATTTGTTTATAGTTCCCGTATTTAACAAAAACAACGAGTTTTTAATCCCTCACCAGAGAGTTCGGGACTAAAAGAATATGAGAGTTCGGGACTAAAAGAATATGCTTTGTTTTTTTAAGGACTATAAATAAATACAATTTTAGTATGTACACAATCAAATTTTGTTATTTTTATTGGGACAAAAAAACAAATTTAATTTGTGTAGCTTTTAAGAATAATATTTTATCTAGATAAGTCACTTCCATGATAATTGCACATATTACGTTTTAGGTATGCATTTTTTTTGTTGGTAGTGTTCCAGCTGCTCATGCAAAATGTCTCCCTACTCGGACACCTTTCTGGCATTGTATCTGGGTTTGCTTGTAAGATTTCTCTCTTTATTCTTCCCCGTTTTACTTTTCTTTTTCCAATAACTTGAACTACTCACCTCTGATATTATGGTTTCAGATACATATGGTTTTTTTAATTTCCTCATACCCGGGCCATCCTTTTATTCTTCAATTGAAGCCTCCTCCTGGCTTGTAAGTCTCTTTCTTGAATTGGCTTTTGTAACGCACCAAGATAGGAAACTTTACAGCTGCTACATCACTAAATAACTAAGTATCAAATTATTTGAAGGTTTCAGGAATACAAACCACCAATGCAATCAGTTACTTTTAAAGAATTGTTAAACATTTAGCCATATATTGATTCAATTAACTATTGGAGTGGTTAATGTAATTCCCATTTTCTGGGGCCTAATTTAACTCAAAATGAATTGGTGTACTGAACAAATTATACTAGAGTCTTTAAAATGTAATATTTATTTTTTTATTTGATGAAAAAAAATATATAATATGTATATCTTAGTAACCACTTTTATTTAAAATGGAAAAAGCCTCCAATAGAAGTCTATTTTTTTGGAAATAAATGCTTCTATATCATCAAATACAGACTTTTTGTAATTGTTCTTCCCTTTGACTTTCAGTCATCATGTGTGAGACGTCCTAAATTTATTGTTTGCACTGGTGGAAATCCTGCGGGCTATATCCCTACACATACAAACCAAAACTCAACATCTGGGTAAGTTCTGTTATTTTCACACTTATTCGTACTGATGGCACTGGATTTCTACCAATCTGCATTTCTACCAATCTGCATTTTAAATATACACTTTCACGGGACAGTGGATTATTTTCCGGAAATATTTGGAGGAACCTATCATCACTGATGCCTCGAAGGGAAGTGTCTGCCCAGCCTCAGGTATCTTGTCATATGCTTTTGGTAGTCCCTAAATAATCCTGCACATGTTTGTTGGCTTTAATCATAATGTTGGCTTTACTCATAATGTGAACTGCAATGAAACTTTTGCATAGTACATTCATGAGGACTATAAGTACATAGAGATCTTACATGATCTTTTGATCAAGTCGGTTTCTGTAGAGTTGATTTTGTGAAAGTATGTTAGTCTGACCTTGATTATCACTTGCATTATTTTAAAACAAATGCAATGAATAGTTATTTGTGTGTACATTACCTGTTCACTATTGGTCTAACTTCTGCAAGTATAAAGAGAATTTTGCGCATGATATTTTTCTTTTTGTCCGGCTTTATGCTCTTCTCCTGCCATTCCTTTGGCAAGCTAGTTGTGTTTCCCCCTGTTCACTCGAATTATATGTTGTCCACCCATTTCAAGCTGTTTATCAACTGACTTTGCTACTTGTTGCGCTTGTCTGTTGGCAATAGCAGTTTTAAAAGGTGAAACAATGTCCCTAGCAAGTTTCCATGTCTATATTCTCATTTGTTTTTAAAAAAAGATAATATTTTGTAAGCTGGAGGCATCCATTTATAGACATTTCATTGTATGCGAAACCTTGCAGTCAGTTGAGGACAGTAGGTTCCCTGGGAGGGGAAGGACCCTTGGTGCTGTTCAAGGTCAAACTGCTTCTGGTCTTCATTCAGATTCAAATCTTCAAGCTAGACTCTTGGAGGACAGTAGTCCTAATCATATTTCAGATTCACCCATTCTGAACACTACTCAAAGGTCAACTGAAGGAAGGTAATGAGGGATAGTTGTATGCATGATTGGTAACTTATGGTGGTTGCTTTATTGTTAGTTGAGTTTCAGTTTGCTGAGATCACAATCATCTTTTCCTTTGTAGTTTGAACACATTCTTAGTTCTTAGAGCATTGAACATAGTCTGATATAGTGTTTTTTCTAGGAGTGGCAATTCCAACTTGAATCCAACAGTTAGATGAGCTTGACTTGCAAATTGGTTTCCTGTTGGCCATGGACAACAAGCATTTGATTTTAAGTTCAAATGTCTGTCCTGAATAGAACATACATTGGTGCAATTGTTGATAGAATATACTTTTAAGAGTACAAACTATATTTTGTAGGGACGAGTTAAGCTTCCTAAGATGGTATCAGAGCCTATCGATGAGACCACGAACCACCTACTGTTTATATTCACACACCAAGCCCAATAGTGCTGGACATGAGGGGGTGTATTGGGAAAATCCCAAGTCCCACAATGGTTACAGATAGAACTTGGAAAGAGTTTATATCGAGTGACATCATTTACCTTACAACCCGGTTTTGTAGGGATGAGTTAGGCCCCAATCCAAATTTTAAGAGTATATCTATTTAGCTTTGAATTTACAAAATAATTAACATATCTATAGGCTAATAAAATACTCCATAAATAGTTCACGTTATATGTCCATTATCATTAGAATTCAAGATTTATGCATGATATATGACTAAGTTATAAGCTTCTCATCTGCAGAATAAGAAATTACACTGAACCAGTTTCTTTATAATCAGGTATCCCTCCATTTCCAGTTAATATCAATGAAAGGGTTGAATTGTAAATTGGTTGATGGTTAACTATTGTTTGCTTGCACTTAAGTTAAACTTGTTCATCAGTACCAGTAACATGGATTTTACTTGGTTTAGGTTTGCTTGCTCTTAAGTTAAACTTGTTCATCAGTACCTGTAACAGGGATTTTACTGGGTTTAAATTACCTGTTTAACAAACTTGTGGTTTAGTCTCTTGCTTGGATTGATAAGTTTAAGTTAAATTTATCAGTAATACTTAAATATTTTTCAATACTACTATAATATGTCTGAAATGTTGTTCACTTAATTTTTTAATTTGACTTAGGCATCCAGTCGATACTGTAGCTACAACAGGATCAGGTGTTCCACATCATCAGGTCTTTCACTTACTGTGGTTAGAGATTTCTTGTTGTCTTTATTTAATATTGATATTTGATAATCTTCATTGTTTTCTCTTGCAGGGAGCAGTTGTTTCAGAAGAAGAGATTAAGAAACTTGTAGCAATGGGCTTTGATAAGGTAAAAATCAGTTTCCATATATTTTAACACAAAAAATGGATTGGGCATCCTAGAATGTATTTCTCATCTAAAAGATCAAATGTATATTGGTGTTTGATCTCCTTGGGGGGTCCTTCTCGTTGTATAAGAAAAATATATTGATGGTACATTTTACTCGGATGTAGTGACTGGTGTACTATCATTTTTATGCATGTGCATCAAATGTAGATTAAGACCTACAGTTCAATTATGTATTTTATGCATTTTTCTTGTGCTGCTTTCAGACACAAGTGGAAGTGGCGCTGGCTGCCGCTGATGGTGATCTTAATGTAGCAGTGGAAATACTCATGACCCAGCAGGTCCTACTTGACTTTTATTTTAAATTTTTTTGTAATTTTACTTGGTTTACTTAACTATTTGTTTCTTGATTCTTTTTTATTGAAAGTGTTTTTTTGTTGGTCTATTGCATATACAGGGTTAAGACATGAAAGCTTCTGTTGATTGGGTATATATCCTCTGTGCTTGTTGAATCACTCGGTTTAATCTTAGACTCCATCACTAACAGTTTGGTGGTGATGCCAACACCAGTGAACAGAATAGAACATGTGTAAACCTCTAATGCCGTGATGTATAACAATGTTAGAATATGATTAATCGAAGAGTTTGCAAATATAAGTCTGTGGTTAAATTGTAAGCATTCTGTTTCCCTCTCATCATTCCCTCCCGCCTTGGATAAGGTTTTATATATAGTTTTGAGAAGGCATCTAGTGCTAGTGGCGATTCAGCAAGCTGCAGTAAAACTTTGTTTCTGAAATTTAATATATTTGTTTTTGTAAAGCCTCTTGAGAAAGCCATAAACCCATCAAAAAGTAGAAATCTAAAGAAAGACATTCCTAGTCTATTTTTTACAAAGTCCTTCCTAATGTCAATAGGAATAGACTCAAATGGTTAGAAAATCCCATTTGTTTCTTACATGTCTAAGCATCAAAGATGGCTATCAAAGATGGCTTGTAGAATACCTGCATCACAATGCTAGAATCAATTTCAATTCAAAGTTTTGACCAATCTTTTTCCATTGCAATCTCCACGGCTCTAAGGATAGCAAAGAACTCTTCAAGATACGAAGATGTCCAAATGACTTGATCAACAAAGGCTAGGATAAAGTTTCCTTGGTTATCTCGGAAATATTCCACCACAATCGGTTGGAAGGAGATTATGGTTGTATGCACCATTACTGTTGTATTTTATCTAGTCAAGAGGAAGAGGATGCCATAAAACTTTTGGAGGCTTGATGGGGATGTTGAAAGCCTTGATAATTTTGAAATAATCTATAGAGGAAGATTAAGTGGTGGGAGACTTTGTTCCAGTCAAAAGGCACCAGAGCTTTTATCTTGTAAATGGATTGCATGACATTTGGAGAATGATTTCTAAATCGTGCCTAATTTCTAGCTTCCCACCATGCCTAATTTTTAGCTTCCCACATATATTATTGATGATGAAAATGATGACCGCTTTTAGAATTAAAGAGTATTGTTTCCGACCATACAAGCAATTCATCAATCTGCTAAGCTATTTGGAGGGTTGGATATCTATACTGTGTTATAAAATCAAAGTCACAGTTTCTTGGCAAATGGGCAATAAAAAAAAGAAAATTTCTTATGGCATCATATATATATATATATATATATATATATATATATATATATATATATATATATATATATATATATATATATATATATATATATATATATATATATATATTTTTTTTTTTTTCTCATATATATATATATATATATATATATATATATATATATGGGAAAAATATCATAGGTAAATCTGAAAATGTCTCTTGGAAATGCATTTTCGGGGCGTACATTTTGTTTATCAATACAAGTAAATTTTCGTGACTCTTATTTAACATAAAAAACATATTGAAAATATAACATCGGGCGAAAACTGGAGACACACATCCGGAAAATTTGTGCAGGAAAAACCAAAAAAATCTCACCTATAAATTGGATATATATTTCCGATTTAGATTGTGAATCCAAAAGCTTAAAACAACAAGGTCCATGGGGTATTGATCATGGTCATTTCAAAAAGTGATTAAAATGCTCTCCAAAAAACTCTCACATTCTCAATACCATTTTTCACTCAAAATCAACATTCTTGTGATGCATTATATAAAATGGAACTAAAGGAAACTGGATTTAAGGTAACACTTCCTCTTTTCAATCTACATTAATCTGTTCATTTCATGGAAAAATGTCACGTTAATATCGGAAGTATATTTTTGATTTTCAGATAAACGTAATTGAAAATGTACTTCCGGTTACTGTAACATCTTTTTCCAGCAACTTCATTTTCTTATCTGCTTAGGATATTTCTTTGTTTAATTTATTTTTACGTATTAGGTATGGTGCATCCCGATAATTGTCCTAAAGTTATTGTGTCTCAAGGTGTCTCGCCTATTCTTTTTCAAGGTGTTTCTCCTATTGTGTCTCAAGGTGTTTCGCATATTGTTATTAAGGCGGTCAATATGCGAAAGAATTTTATAAATGAACAAGAATATGAATCTCGAGATGTCATGATGCAGTGGATTCGTACGGAGGCCACTAAACTAGAATTTGGTATTGTGATAGGAAGGTCCGATAGTGGTTCAGATAGACGTCCTACATTTGTGACATTGACACGCGAAAGAAGTGGAATATATAGGTGACTATCAAGAATTTCAAAAGAGATGATACTGATTTAAGAAAATGCCATTGTCTATTTAGACTACGTGGGTATCGGTTGACAAATAATAATTGGAGGTTCAATGTCATAAGAGGTTTATATAATCATGATTTAAGTGTACAATTAGCCGGTCATTCAAGTGCATGTCGCCTCTTGGCGGAAGAGAAGGAATGTGTGTCCGACATGACACTAAATTTGGTCGCTCCAAAAAACATACTTGGCACGTTGAAGCGCAAAAGACTCTATAATATTTCAAACATTAAGCAAGTTTACGATCATGACTACCAAGCAAAATTGACGCTTAGGGGTACCAAACCGAAATGCAACAACTCTTGAAGCTTTTAGATGAGAACAATTTCGTTTGTAGGCACCAGAGATGTGAGGATGGAGTAACGGTAATATATATATATATGATAAAGTAAAAATAAAGGTATTCCGGTTTACTTGGGCCAGAAAAAGACTAGACACACAAACCGAAAGTCTTCTTTTAATCAAGTTATCACTTCACTTACCCTCTCGCTACCTTCTCGTTGTTTTTTTTTTGACTTGTTGGCTAACGTTGACCGGCTTCGCGGGACCATTTCGGCCTACACGGGGCTAAGCTCTATTGGGCGTAGCTTATTCGATCCAAGTAAACTACTCGAAAAAACGAGAAGAAAGATCGACTCTTTTATCTAAGCAATTTCTTTGTTTAACTTTAAACAGACAGACGAATACGTAGTGGAATAAGGTGCTGCAACTATAGGTTCGAGTAAGCTGACTGGTCTAACCTCAGATTCTAGGTCAATAAGTGAGACAGAGGAACTAATATATGCTTCTTTTTTTTTTAAGAATGGGGATATATCGTTGGGAAAAAGCAGAAAAAAAGGATTTAACGGGCAGAAGAAGGGAAGTTCGGAAAAGCCTAGCAGACGGGACTATCAACTCCTTTCTATTACGATCTCGACACCTTCCTTACCCCCCTACGAAAAATTTACCCCTATTTTAAAGAGGAAAGCTCCCATATATATATATATATATATATATATATATATATATATATATATATATATATATATATATATATATATATATATTGGACTCATATTGATTCCATTAAATTGTTCAATACGTTTTCTACCGTGCTTATAATTGATTCGACGAACAAGGCCAACAAGTACATGTTGCCATTGTTGGAAATTGTCGGTGTTACGTCGACTGAAATGACATATTCCATTGATTTTGCATTTCTAGAGTGTGAAAAAGAGGATAATTTTGCATGGACTTTAGAGGTTTGTCGTTCAATGTTAAAGGATCAAGAAAACATGTCAAAAGTCATTATTACCGACCGCGATACAACATTGATGGACTCTGTTGCAAATGTCTTTCTGAGTTCTTCTGCATTACTTTATAAGTATCACATTACTAAAAATGTGAGAAGTCGGGTAAAACCAACGGTATGGACAGGTCAGATTGAGATTAAAGAGGGTAAACTAGTTAAGTCGGGCATTGTTGTGGAGAAAATTATGGTTGCTTGGAATGTTATCATAAATGCATCTACCAAAGATTTATATGTTGAAGTTATTGTACATTTCAGGAAGGTGTGCGATAAATATCCCAAATTGTTGAAATACATTGAGACTACAATTTTGGATAAGGTGAAGAAGAAGATTGTTTGTTGCATGGACAAATCAGGTTATGCATCTTAGAAATACAACAAGAAACCGAGTTGAGTCGGCTCATGCATGTCTGAAGAATTGGTTGGGAAATAGCAAGGGTGATTTGTGTACGGGTTGGGAATCCGTGAACCAAATGATACTTAACCAGTATAATAAAATTCAAACATCATTTGGTCGTAGTGTCACAGTGTTGAAACATAGGTTCAAAGACAACTTTATCTATTCTCAGTTGGTTGACAACGTATCACGATCAACTCTTAATTTCATTTTTTATGAAGCCAAATGAGCCACTGACTTAGGCTCCGATACCTCTAAGTGTAGTTACATAATTGTGAAAACATATGGTATCTAGTGTGCACGTGTAATATATAATAAGGTAAAACTTGATAGCCCGATACAACTGGACGAAGTATGTAGTCATTGGAAGAGGTTGAGTTTTGAAGACGACAGTACAATGGAAGATGGAAAGTCAAGTATCATAATCTTGACAGAATGTGAAGCAATACAAGAAAGATTTAGGAAAGGAGATGAAAACACAAAACTCTACATCAAAGATCAATTGAGTAAAATCTCTTTTCCAGAGACAACCGACTTGAAACCACCGTCTCAACCGGTTAAAACAAAAGAAGCACCAAAAAAGGTAAAACCTACACCAAGTGAAAATTCTACTATGAGGAGTCCATCATATTTTGAACATGCTGACAAACTTTTTCCCGATTCACCAACACCAAAATCTCAAAAAAAGGTCTTCAAAGGTGCTCGCATAAGCAAACCTCCAACTTCACCGCCTCCACCAATAATACCATTCATTGAGTTTATGCCATTTTTATGCACAATCACATTGATCGGATCATCAATGTTAATGGTGACGACAATTGTAGTTTTCAGGCTATTTCTGCTTTACTCGGTAAAGGGGAAGAAGATCACACACTTGTCCGTCAAACTCTTATCCAAGAGTTGAGGGGCCATAGAGATTTGTACACACGGGTGTACGGGGATAAGAATAAGTTTGAAGAAATCTATACCATATACATCATCAGAGTGGGCGAATCATTATACAAACCAATCCAAGACTTGGCAGGACCAGTTCATTGAAAGGATGCAAGAGTTCACCAAGTTGAACAACATTGAAATAGAAAAAAACAAGGAATAGTAAAAGGGTGTATCCCCGATGTATTTGTCGGGAGACAATTATTTAGAATCTTTTAAGTAGTTAAAAATGACTTTGATGTATATGTATTTTTGTTAATGAGTTATGACATAGAATATTCTCATTTTGGTAATATATATATGTCTATTATTATATTTTTATGCAATCTGCTCTTACTGTTATTTCTCTGTTTCTAGTTTTTAATACCAGGGACTTTATCGGAAATGTATTTCCGATTTTCAAGTTAAGGTGTAAATCAGAATTACATTTCTGGTTTACATTCTGTCAGCAGATAGGACGTGTGTGGT